GAACAAGAGAATAAAAAAAGTTTCGACTACTTACAGAAACTTTTTAATTTCACCGGCCAGTTCAAATTTTTTTTCTAGTTCAGCTGCATTGATTCAATTGGCTCTTTTAAGTGTAACTTTTTGAAAAAATTTTATGAGGAGGATTCCTTTTGAGATGATGTTGATCAAGTCCTTATCTTCAAAATAAAAAAAGTTTTCGGATTGTCTGATCCTCTTCACCTCGACCGCGCTACGTTTTCTGCATGTCTTAGTTAGGCATTTTTCTTAAGAGTCTCCGGAATTCCAAGTTTGGGACTTCTGCGCAGTAAAAAACTTTTCTTTGTAGTTGGTGTTTCAATATGTTTCAAAGTTTCAAATCCAGTTTGCCCTCCTCTCTTTTCTTGTGCGGCTCTTTGTTCTCTTTATTTTTTTTTCGTGGCTTTTTTTTACCCTTTGTCAGGAAAATGACCAGGATTCGGAACCAAAAGAACCAAGACGACAAGGAGGAGAAAACGCGAAAACCTCCTCCCGCCAAGAGAGCCCTTTCTGACGCTAACGACTCATTGTGCTCCGAAGTTGATGACCAGCTCGAAGAAATCCGTTCCCAGCTCTCCCAAGTCCTCGCCGACAACAAGGATTTCAAAACTTTCATCGCTGAGCATGAGCAAAAGATGGCGGTGATCGTTCAACAAAACACTAACCTCATCTCACAATGCTCAACGCTTATGGCTCGGAATGACCTCCTCGCAGCTGAGAACGCCAGACTGCAGAAAGAACTGACTGATCTTCAATCCACCCACAAGAAAAAAATCTCATTTGCCGACGTCGCCGCTCCTCGCGTTCCTGTCGAGCTTTCCCATCTCGCAACTAGAGTCCAGTTGACCCGCGAAGCTGCATCTTTAAAGGACAAAAGCCTTCAAGCTGCTGTTGAACGGTTGCCGGACCTGAAATCCGATGAACAGGACAAACTGGACCGTGAACTGATCGAGAAGATTTGCGTGGCCGCCAAAATCCAAGTTCCTGAAACAACCTTCCGTCACGAATGCAGAAATAAACGTCGCCCCCTAAAAGTGCGGTTCCTCAACACCCAGGATCGCGACGCGTTTATCCGAGGTTTTCGTATTGGTCTCGCTGGAACCTATTTCACTTCCGACATTCCGCCCCGTGCACGAAGGGACATGACTGAGACTGAGTTGACCCTTCTCCGACAACTCAGAAAGAAGGCCTACGAAGACAATCTTAAAGCTGGCGTCTTCAAGTTCTATGTTAGAGAAGTACAGATCGTCTCAACAAGTGAACCACGCGCCTTCGTCGTTCACTCACGAGGCGGGAAAAACACGTGAACGCGCCACCTGATCACGTGGACACCAAAACTCCAATGGAGTAGGATTTTCCCACTCCTGCTGTTCCTGATCTCCTGGTCAAATCTTCCTTCCCCCACACGCACCTACCCTCCATCCGTGGCGAACTTGTTCAACCTCCTCCTGTTATTTTAGAGCCCCCATCCGCTGACGACTACGGTGTGGATACGTCCTTCCTAGTGGCGTCGACGATTTCGTGTCCCGAATTTTCTAAGAATTGCTCTCCTTCTTCTCATTTGAATAAGTTCGTTGAATCTGTAAATTCTCTAAACTCTAGTGTAAAAGTTAAAAGTTCTATGATAAATTCTAATTTTTTTGTGAATAATACTAAATTATCTGTAAAAAATGGTAACTTTTCTAATCTAAAATGATTACTTTTAAATGTTCGTTCTATTAACT